ACATATTCTCACTCCCCTCTTCTGGCTGCACTTGCACAAGTTTTTTGTTCCCCCTTCTTAAATATGTCATCCCAGAGGCACTACCACCATTGCTGATGAGCTCAGTCTTGGCCAGTGGTAGGTCTGTCTTGGAGCTGGCTGGCATTGACCCTATGGGATATGGGGGAAGCTTCTAGCAGTTTCTCACAGAAGCCAGCCCTGTAGCCCGCTGCTACTAAAACCTTGCCACGCAAACCCAAGTCCATATATTCTTTTTTAATTGTGTCATCAGAAGCAAGAGCTTGTGGAGGGACAATTGGGATGGACAGGATAGCACCAATGCAGGTCTGTGAGCTATGATGTCCCAGGAGAGATGTCTGCAAGAGGTACGAGTCTCAACTCAGCCGATCACAGCCTGACATCAAAGCAAGAATTCATCTTCACGTTAGTACTTATTTGCGTTCATCAGCTTCTCAGCTTTGAGAGCTGCAACATTTCCTAGTATCTGAATTTTTACTGTCTAGCTTAACCTCTCATTTTGAAAAGAGAAATAAAGGAATGCTTGCAAAGCTGCTGGTCCCTGAACTAAATAGTACTGAAGGCTTTGCCTTCCATTTTCGATGCCATCACTTCTTACAGTAGGTACTATTGCCCAACACTGTAATGTTCCCACTTTTCCTATGAATTTATGAAGACAGTGTAATATTGCTGTTGTGGATTGTGCAATGCAACTGCAACTGCTTCTCAGCAGTTCAGTGCTGAATGCTTTTATCTGGGTCGTTGTCAAAAATGTCATCGGAACTTCCTCTGATGCCAGCAGGTCAATCCATAAGGACAGTTGAAACAAGAACTATGTCTAGCTTCAGTTCCCTGTCAAGCCCTTCTAAATGATGCTGAGAAAGGAAATACCCTGTGACAGCAAAATAGCTAACGTTCAGAATTTTATTGTATATCTCATATTTTTTAAAGGTTTGCTTTCAAAAAACTACTCTGCAGGATTATCTGAAGATCTCGGCTGTTTTAAAAGTGAATCTTTTAGCTCTTGTGTTTATAGGTACAGGAGAATTCCTGCAGAATTAAAAAACAGAGGACTAACAAAAAGAACAGAGTGTTTGTTATTTTTGAGCTAATCTCATGATTTTTGGTTTCCTGATTCATGATTTTGTCATGTTGATGGTAATATGGGTGTCATGTAATGGAAATGAACAGTCCCTCCGCTATTTCTGCTTCTGCCTAAATACTCCTGTTTTTTAAAGCACACAACTCCTTAATTACTGGTTGCTGGGACTAATCGCACAAATAAGTTATATTTTTATAGGGTTTTTTTTGCTGACTATAGCTATGTTATCCTCTGTGTCCTGAGCCTGCCTCTAATGTGGCTACAGCGTTTAGGGAAAATTTCTTTTTAATGTGAAAACTGCAGGCTCAAAAAGGAAGAAATTTAATTCTGGGCAGTCTCCAGCTTCTGCTCTCACTTATTTGTTCCTGAGTTTTTTTGGTGAGAAACAATGAGCCTGAATTGTGATGTGAATTTGAAAAACAGAGAACTAGTACAGTTTTGCTTGCCTAACTTCTGTGGTAAGAGGAGCCTTGTTTCCAGAGCCTGGAACGTATTTCAGATGCATCAGAGGAGGGAACATAACGGTATTGCTTCCAAAAACTGCTTGGATTATGTCCCAAGTTCCTCTATCACCCACTTCCAGTCCCAATAAAAATGAAACATGAATAACAGTAGTGAATACCGCATCTCCTTCAAACCCCAAACGCAAGATGTGCTTCCTGAATGTGGATGTTATCAAAAAAAGCAAGCTGAGGAAGTGGCTATTACCATGGAAAATAGAAGAAAACAACAGAATAAAGAAGAGCATGTAAACCTCATGCAAAGAAGAGAAAATATCCACAGCTAGAGTAAGGCTCCGAACAAGTACTCTTCCACCTCACAAATGTATTTGTAGAATTTTTGGGTTTTTCTTTTACTTGTCAAACCTGGACCGTAGCTAATCCTAGCCCATACATATCCAGGACTGTGACATGAAAATTTGCTTGGTCAGGTTTTTATCTCTCTCTCTGCAGAGAGGACTTGTGGGACACTTCTATCCAGAACCTTTTGCAATTGTTGTTTGACTCGGTACTTGACCCAAGGGCAGTCTTTCAGTTTATAGAGATCTCGGAGACAGGGGAACTTTGCACAACTTTTAAGTCCCTGGGAGGAGATGTGTTCAAAATCAAGCACACACTGGGATGTTTTGCTTGCTTACAGTGAATTTTTGGGTTCCATATGTCATGTGATCCCAGTACTCTCTTTCCGTACCAAACTTAGCCTTTTAATAGGCAACTTCAGAATTTCCACAGAAACTGCCACTTTCAAAATTTGTGAAACTTTAAGAATTTGGGAAACTGAAACCCTTTAATTTTTTTTTTTTTTTTTCATTTTGTTTTAAATTAATGCCATGTAGAGGTACTGGATACTTGCACACTCAGATCTGATGTTTGCCAGATTAGTGGATAAATATTGTGCAATCCTAGATCTATTTTATCTGCTATATATATACCAAGGAGGCACATAATTCCTTGCTCCAAATGAAAAGCAAGGAAGCTACTCTTCTGAGGGAAGCTGGCATGCCATGTTATCCCTTTTCTAGTCTCACTCATCCTAGTTCTGGTGGACACGCTCTTCTGAAGGCCAGGCAAAAAAGCAACCTTCTCATTCTGCATCCTGGGGACACACCCACACACAGAGATACTCTCATCAAGGATATTTTTCTTTCTCTCTCATGATCAACTGAGTCAGTGCACCTAGTCAGCAACTGGCAAATAGCGTGTCTTACAAACACAAAATAGGCCATCGCAAATCCCACGTGAGGATGAAGCCCATTGCTCACTCGAGTTCTCATCTAAATTGAGGGCAGAAGTGAGGAGTAAGACCAAGTGGTGTTTATTTCTTCTTCTTTAGTTCTTCTGCCCTCTTAAAACCAAAGATGGCTCTTCTAGCATCCCAGGATGACAATCTCAGCTTTTTTTTTTCCTTTGCTTATCTGCAACCATCTGCATCTGTCATTAAGCTAATAACAGTGCTTGTTTTCCAGATCCCTTAAAAAGGAAGAGAAACCTTTCAGAAAGGTACTAGCACTGGAAATCCTACATACAGTGAACTAAAACCCCTGTCTTTACATCCAAAAAATAACCTCTTTCTAATCATTTTTGGAAACCAATTTCTCCAGTTGTGAGCAATAGTATCCTATTAGTATCAATGGGTCTACTTGTTTGAAGTATAAAATATGTCCTGGGTGCTGGCCAGGGCTGCACAGAGTTCTTCAGGCTCGAAGGTTTCAGACAATTTCAAATTAAGGATTTGCTGTTTGTTTTCTGTTTCTTTTTACTTTCCCCTGGTTTCATGCTTTTTCAGGCTTGTAGTTACACTTTGAGCAAATTCAGTAAGAAGTAAGTTAATTGGTTGAATAGGTTGGGGTCTTTCATATCATGCATCTAAGGTTTGGTTTTTTTAGATGATGGAAGCTAATCTTATCGGTTATTATAATAAACTGATGTAAAAGTTTGGAAATTAGTCATTTGAACCATGTCATAGCTATTCCAGCCTTTCCATTCTAGGTCAGATTTTATCAGATTTATGCTAATTTATCTGCATTTTCAATAAGTAGTTTTCATGTTTACTCAACAATGTTGTACCATCTTTTCTTGATGAGGACCTTTTCTATGCTGGCACAGCAGTAGGAAACAAACAAAGAGTCTGGGATAGAGATCAGACTGGTATCCTGTGCTCTGGTTGATCTTCTGCAGCTTGGGTTAGCCTTTTGTTCCTACTACCTCTGCTCATAGCTCTTCTAAACCCTCTCTACTCCTTGTGTTAGCTATCTTAGCATTTCTAGCCTAAATTTATTTGCACTCAATATGGAATAGTTAATGCCCATTTGGACTTGTACCAGCATTGTCCTAAGGTATAAATAGCTCTTCTTCACGGGTTCATTTATAAAGATCATGCCTGCTCTCAATCCTCACTTATCACAGTTAAGGAAGTAAAACTCTCTTTAGTTTCCTCTTGTAAGATCGGCCCTCCATTCCCTGATGTGCCTCACAGCACCTTCTTTGTATCCGCTCCTCTCTGAATGTTTCTCCTTTCAGAAAAGTTTTCAGAAAGATTTGTGACTTGGTTATAGACATAACGTAGACATGTTTCAGAGGTCTTCAAAAATAACCATGGTGAAGCTGGAAATGGCCAAACTTATCCTTCTCCCCTTTGCTTTGATTGTTAGAACTTACTTCTTATGATTTAAATACCAGTGTTTTACATTCTGCAACTGAGCAGTTTTTGCTTATCATCTTTTTTTTACCTGCACCAGAGGACCAGGTGTTTTGACAACACGTGTTGGCTGATACTGTCTTTCTTTCCCAGGGTGGTTCAGCTTTTTCTCCAGCATCCATTATTTCTAAGAGGAGAGCACAGACCCAAGCAGCAGTCCTGGCTGAGGATGTGGGATGCCCTTCATCCACCAATGAGGAAATTGTAGACTGCCTCCGCCAGTTGCCTGCTCGTGTCCTCAATGATGCACAGACTAAGGTACACCACAGCAAAATATCAAGGAATCAAAAAAGTTCCCATTGACACAAAGCTGTGAGAAAGCTTGAAAAGTAGATTGGGCTGAATTCTTGTGAAAGAGGAACTGGACTAGCTTTGGTGGAGTGATGCTGATATCCATGACATCCACCTCCAACCTATAATTACTCACAGCTTGGTTCTCCTTTTATGCTACTTTGACCGCATCTTCCAAATTACATCTAAATATAATTTTTACCTTCTTTCAGTCCCCTCTCATCTGCCCCTGGGTGTTAGTCTAGAGGAGAATCAAGTGTCTGTAGCTTCAGTAATTGCATTTTTGCAGAAAAGGAAGTGGGTAGGGATGTCAGACCTCTGTCTCTTAAGTGGGATACTTGTGAAATCTGCCGTATAAACGATTCTGGAGATGGATCTTTTACCCACAGATTAAAACACCCACTGGCAATACATTTTCTGATCAGGACCAGCATAGATTCAATTCTATTTTAAAACAATATTTTTATGACTATAAGACCATCAATTCTCTTGGCCTATTCAGCTCATTTCACCTACTGAGACTGTCAGCAAAAGCATTGTTTCCTGCCAATGGTGAGTTTACACTTGCCTTGACTGATCACTTGTTCACTTGAAGGCTATCATCAACTCAGTTGTCAGAAGCATGAATAAAATGTAAATGATCAGGGTAACCTAATTTAACTGCACTATTATTGCTTTTTTGCTAATCTAGCTCCTAGCTATAAGCGGCCCATTCCAGTACTGGGGTCCAGTGATGGATGGAATTTACCTTCGGGAACCTTTAGCTACAGCCCTGCAGCGCCCTCAACTTCAGAAAGTAGATCTGCTCATTGGAAGTGCTCAGCAAGATGGGCTGATCAGCAGAGCTAAGGCAATCAAGGTAGGAAGAGACTCACTGTTAATGAACTGGTGGTGTTACTGATATTATAGTGATTATAGTAATCATATGCAGCCAGGACAGGCGCTTTTTGATTTCTACAATTTGTGAATGATACTCCATGCAAATAGGTGAAGGTGCATTGTCCATCTGCAGCCAGTCCCATTTAGACTGATTAATGACATTATTATATTTGTTGATTAACATTACTGGGGGAGATATGGAAAGGTAAGAGATCAGCAATGATTTAGCAGGTATTAATATGCAGCAGAAGTCTTACTGTTTCTAAAATCCTATTTATGTTGTAATTTCAGAAGTATCTCACAAAGAAGAAAGAAAGCTCATAACTTGGTTACGAGGTCCTTCACTGTGTAGCAGGGCTAAGTCAGTCTTGTCCACGCCAACTTTTTTTTTTCTTACAGCAAGCTTTTTTCTCTCTTGCCTTTAAGAAGTACACTTTCTTGTGAAGACAATTCTGAATATTGGCTAGCTATGACTAAGAATAGCTCTTGCCTGATGTGTGGGCTAAGGTTTCAGAGCATAAAATAGTGAAATAAAAAAGAGTTGCATCCATGCTGTACTTTCGACATAAAAGTTCTCAAAAGCATGAAGGTCTACCCAGAGGGATTTTACATCTTCTTGAGAATCTTCTGGCACTGGCTGTTCTTGAGACAGCATATCAACTTCTTCTAGTTCATTTGTTCTTCTCTATGATGGGAATTACTTTGAGGGTTAGCTACATGAATTGCAGGTCTGTTGCTATCTTTCTGTAACTGTGTGGATTTCATCTCTTAGGAGGCAGTGAAAGGTCAATCCCAGCTTCTCTTTGCTGGTAGCCAGTAACACATAGACCAATTTACTTCAGAATAATGTCAAAATTACCCCTTTGAAATAAGGCTTTTTGACTCACCAGAATTAAGTTCATATTGTTTGTTTAGTCTCCGTCAGAAGTTTCCTGCTTTTATTTCATGTATCTTTCTCTTTTGGAATCAATTAAAAGAGGAAGTCAGTCATAGGAAATGGACTGTGACGCTGGAGGCTTGCAGATAATGATCCAGACCCTGTGAGAGGGGAATAAATCTCAGTAACCTCATTACAAGTCGTGTGATGAAGACTAGGAAGTGAAATTCTTTCCTTTACCACTATTTCCATGTATGACAGTTGTCTGCAAAACCAAACTGAAATTCCATGATGTATTAAATATTATGCAACAAATCATGATCTTAATGAAAGACAAAAGTGCTAAAAGCCAGCACTGTCAGGTTGAAATGAAATGAAATGAAAAGGAAAAGGAAAAACATTTGTAACTGAGAGCTCAGCAGTAAAATGTTGCCTTTCCAAAAAGAAAACCTGGAATATCTTCATTTAAAGGCTTGCAGAAACTAAAATTGGAAGGGGACTTAAAAAGTTGGTGCAACTCTACCCTAAGAAAAGGTCATGTCTACCTCAATCTGAGAGACCTGTTTTAAAATCTCCTACTGTTCGAGATCTTCTGATCTTCTTTGGCAAGTGTTTAACTCTCCTTACTTAGAAGGGTAGTTAACTTCTTTTCTAGCTATTTTAGCAATCTTGTCTAGTTGGAAATGTCCCTGCTCACCGCAGGGGGGTTGGACTAGATGACCTTTAAAGGTCCCTTCCAGCCCAAATGATTCTATGATTCTGTTACAATAGTACCTACCTTACTGCTACTGCTGTAAGTCAGATTCCAACTCTGTTCCAGAAAACTCCTAATGTTCAAGGCAGGTGGTTGTATTTTATTTTCTCCATTTTGACATCCTTATGCAGTTTTCATGTTCTCAGAAAGAACTGATGATTTTTTAATGCAGATTTTCCTCTATTTCTATTTTCCTGTCTTCAGGTATTTAGGGCTTGAGGGAATATGTCTGTCTTGACCAGTCTGTACTCCGATCTTCAGATTGTTTTCTTAAAGACCTGCTGCAAGGTTAAAGTTTCCTGATTTCTTCCTTGTCTGTGCAGTTAGTGTATTAATTGCTGGGAAACCATAATGCTTCCTTTGTCATTGAGCTATTTAAGAACATGCATTTTCCAGGTCATAAAGAGCATTTCTACATCATAGCCATGACCGTGCATGGTTGCAGTCAAAGTCAGATGATAAAGTCCTGAGTAGGCCACAGACATATTTAGCTGCGGTGCAGAAACTGGTGCGGGTGGTTGTTGTTACCGAGAAGACTGCCCCATTTCCTCTGTCATAATGTCATAAGGGATGTTTGATCTGTGCTAACTGTCCTCTTCCCATACAGACCTAGAAGAAGGATTTGAGACAATCCACACTCTATCCCATTCTTCTATTTTATTTGTTTTAAGGGTTCCCTTGAGGTAGAACTGACTTGCATCTTTCTGGGAAAACCCAAAGCTGGTTTTACTGATACACTAAGGGCTTAGCTGGTGGACAGAGCACTGAACTCAACTGAGGGAACAAAGGCATAGTTCCTAGTTTGCCTCTGAGTATAACCAAGTTATTTAATCTGTTCTACAAAGAGGGGACCAAACCTCCCTGGGATGAAAATCCATTTGTAGTTGTGCTCCAACTCTGTAGAGAGAAGAATCATGCATGTATTTGGGTAGATAAATGGCACAGCTAAAAGGTCCTGTGGCAAGTGAGTGGAATTGGCAAAGTCCTTCATTTTCATCTCTTTAGGATGGCTGATTTCAGTGTAGTCAGATGCAAAGATGTAAATTTAGTCCCTGCTGACCTGTTCTACCAATTCCTGGGAATAACTGTGCTGGCAAATTCAGACAAGGCCTTGCTCTGTTAGTCCTTGGCTTACTGTCTTAATACTGATCCAGTAAATAGTGAGGAGACACTTTTTGCCATTTGGATGCAAGCAAGCTTGAGATGTGATGCAAATCTTGTCACCTTAGAATAGAGTTGCATGCAAGTTTTATAAACTCTCAGCAGTTGAGTTTTAGGAGTGAGAATAAAACCTCTAGATTGCAACCAGACCTGAAGGTGGTAAATCCAGTTGGCACCATGTTGTTCTGTGGGAGCTTACTGGCATTTGGTTGTGTTGGGTGTCTCTGTACTCCCACTGCAACACTGTGCTTATGCCTGTTAAGGCCTTTACTATTAAAAATGAAACAGAAAGACAGAAGGCACCACTTATGTCTTAGCAAAACAGTTATGTTCAATTTGTTTACAATTAAAGGCTGAGGTCTCTCAGTGATGCTTGCAGCAGAGAGTAGGCTAAAAATTTGTGCTCAGTGTCTTGCCCGTGGAAAAGAGCATTTTATGGCATTCACTTGAATACTTATTCATGTGAACTGAGACAGATTTACCACTTCCTGGAGCAATTTGTACTCATCTCCAGTGCAGCCATCAGATGGTGGAAACTAAGTGAGAAACAAAGTAGAGTTCGTTAAGGGAATGGCAAGTGGTACCATTAGGTATCATTATGTGGCATATGGAGCAGTTAAGCCTGAACCCATTAACTGCAATTCCCATGGCAGACCTTCAGGGATATTAGCTTTGAGCAGTCATAGATTAGGGCAGCTGAGCAGAAACCTCTAAAACTGTTGATTTCAATTCCCAACTGGACAAATTTTTATCCCTGTGCTATATGTGATGCTCAGGTGGGAGGATCTAATGGTTCCTACTGGCATTAAATATATGGATTCACCTGCTCTACTCTACATCTGTGTTTGTATATACATGTAAGTCATTATAGCTCATAAGTTTATATCCTCCATATGTCCTGTGCCTACCATATAATCTCTACATTGCTAGGATTGTTAACTTTTCTTTTAGTTGGAAGACTAAGATTGTACTTTATATGTTTTCTTTCTTTTTCTTTCCCTCCTTAGTACAAGTCTAGTTGACTACAGAACCCAGAACTAGGACATAGGGGAGTGGATAGATAGGAATATAGTTTGTTTACCTCATGTAATCAACTGGATCTATGCAGACCAGAACTTCCATCCTGCACTGTATTATAGTCAATTAATTTCTTTATGGATAAAAGTATTCAACAACATACAACAGGTGGCAGATACCTGTATATTAATTGTAATGACCAGGGGAGCAATGTCCTGATAAATTCCATCAATGAGGAGAATGGGCTGATATCAGCTCTTTACTTCATCTTGCAGCTAGCTAGGATCCTTGAAAGACTCTGCTGAATGGCTGGCAAGTCTTTCACCATCTTCTGTGACAACATTTATCAAAAGCCATTTAAGACCTAAGATCTGTACATACTCTGTTAGTGTTATCACTACTCCAGTTTGTCAGAAAAGTACATTTTGTCCCTTGGTAAATATAGACATTTGGTCTACCTACTGCTACAGTTTCTTTTTAAATAAAACACTGGACCTGATTCATTCATGTGCTCCAGAAGCTATGCTGCAGCAACAAGAACAGTAAGCGTTATTTAACTCATTATTTAGGCAATGTTTATTATGGCTTTGTATCACCAGAACAGTAGGAAGTGGTGCACCTATATTTAATTATTTTCTTACTTACTTTCTAAAAAAATTTGAAAACCCCGCTATAACTCTGAGGTCAGTTGCTAATACCTCTTTAAAGGTTAGCAGAATGTAAATTATTTTACATAATATGCAGCTGTTTCTATTAATCTGATAGCAGCTGTTGTATCTACTGATATTTGAAAATTGTTCCTTGGTCATGTATTTACTAATGGGAAATATTTGTTGTACATGGAAAATTGGTCAAATTGAATCAATTTCTGAAAAGTTAAAATGCTTTGTCTTTTTAATGTTTCATGGGTTTTATTTTGAATGTATTGTTTTGTTTTGTGCTATCGTGTTAAAGTCGGATGTCTAAATTACATTATATTGTAGCCAAAGTGACACTTGAGAAATCATGTTTCAGACAGTACTATTTTAGTGTTGGTTGAGATGAAAAATCTCAAAATGTCTTACAAATGCCTGTTCTGTTTCTCATCCACCTCTGCCTGTTGAGTCCTCTTTCATCTGATAACACATCTCAGGGACCCCACTCTATTATAAATGATTGCTGAGAAAAGTCACCAGAATTTTGGGGCCATTTTGAAGATCACAGAAACTAGTACATAGGTGCAGTAAAAACCTAAGACCGACCACACTGACTCAGATCAAAGTCCCATTTAGCACAGAATGCTGTTGTCAGCGGTGGCTAAGAGTGGATGTTTGTAAGAATAGGGTAAGCAAATCTGATACTTCTGCTAAATGCTCTCCAAACCTCTAGCACTTTGCAGCTCAGGGACTTCATAGGCTGAACTTGTCTTTCTGTATTTTAAAACCATCAACTGATTTTTATTTTTTTTTAAATTCAAAAACTTGCTTATGAAACTTCACCTTCACCTATTTTGGCATCCGCAAAACCATGTGGCCAGAAGTTCCTCAGCTCAACCATATATTGTATGATGGTCCATCTCCTCTGTAGTTTTCAACCATCGTGTTTATTTGATTCTTGGTAGTTGATGGGGCAGTGAAGGATCAGCTCCTAGGGTGCATAATCAATACTCTAAGGGTTTTTTTCTTTCCTTTTCTCTCTGTTTTAAATAACCATGACAGGTGCAGAATAAGGTAATAAATCCATTTAAAAAACCAAACAACAAAAGGAAAACATTGCATGAAAGTTGCTTTGTACAGGATGCCTTACACATAAGAGCTTGGGGTCTGCACTGACATGGAAAAGCATCTGTTCTTATCCATAACTGCTAGCCAAATCCACCAGCCCCAATCACCAAATGAGAGATTTCTAATTAGACAGCAGCAATGCTTCTGCTGGTTAGTAGGGACCTGAATTGATGTGTGCAGAAGCTGATGGAAAGATTGGTTTTGAATTCAGTGAACTTGCAGTCGGGTATTCAGTGATAATTTCTGCAGATAATTTTTGCAGAAAAATATACGTGTCCTTGCTGTATTTAAACTGAATGATTTTGCAGACAAGTGTGCTATGCAGTTTCTTATGTGGCATTTGTGCACATGAAGTGACGTGTCAAGTGTGAATTGCAGATCTTTTTCGAAGTACAGCTGGTTTACTAAAACTGGCACCACATGACTCTTTTCACATTGCATGGGACAAAATCTAGCAAAAGAAGAATTTATTACAAATACAAGGAAAATTGCCAAGATCTTTTTGGACCCTGGGATATTTGGTAGTGTTTTGAAATCCCTTGTAAAGTCATTTCATCAAAATGCACAAAGCCTTAGAGTACATCAGTAAGAACAGGTCTCAGCCTCACCAGACAGGGACTTATTTTCCATCTGTCATTTTTGTGAATCTGTTGAAAAGTAATTATTCCCTCTGTACTTTCTGTATAGGGTTGTGGAAAGACCTTCTAGGATTGTGATGAAAACCAGCTGTGGGCCATCAAAATAATGTATTCAGTAAAGCATCTATGGTAACTGGACTGGGCAGACACCAGTCTATTTTGCATCAGACTGACTGCCCAAAATAATACAGGTTGTTTATTAGAGCTTTCTCTCTGGAGTTCTTATACCAAATTTCAGCCAGTGTGCACCTGCAAGGTGCCTTCTTTAGAATGGACTTGATCCGCAGGAAAGTTCAGGCTACATTTTTTTTCAAGAAGTTTCTCTGTTTCTGAACATAAAATAAATTCTTTCCAAAAAAAAAAAAAAAGTGTAAAGTCTGAATTGATAAAATAAAAAACTTTCTCAAAGAAAGATGTGTTGAAAACTTCCAGCAGTCTTTAGCTTTGGCAAAAATGAGATCGGGCATGCAGTTTAGCATAGAAGGTGGTCCCTCTGCTATCAGTAATTCTGCTGTGACATGGACACTCTGCTCTAGGGAAAATGCCTTTATGTCAGGAAAGGTTTCTGACCAAAAATCTCAGGAAAAGGGCATTTCACTGTAGTTCTCTCTGAAAGGCCCTAGGGGTTATGAAATTTGAAGATCATGGCTGCTACTTGCATTGGGATTTGGAGGAGGGAGATTTCCCTTCCAGGGCTAAGGCAGGTCTTATTCCAGAAGGGATCTAAATACAGGCCTCTTGGCAGCCACATTTCTTTCTAGGTGTTTCCAGAAGAGGCAGAGTGATACAGCCACGATATGGCTATATGGCTTGTTCACTTTCTGGAATTTCCAAAGGAAAGGCGCAATATCTCTGTCTTCCCTCTAGTTTTCCTTCAGAGAACTCATCAGAAAGACAGCATTGGGCACACCTACAGTGGAGAACTGTTCATGGAAACTACTTCTGTGAGAGCCAGCGGGGTTTCTGTAGTATTAGAGCTACATCTGCACAGCGCGGTACCTATGATTTGGACTTACTAGATCAGGAATTCAGTATGGTATGCTTTGAGGAAGCCAATACTGCTGGCTGGTGACAGCCTTCAGAACGCAAAACTAGGACTGTCCCCTACTTCTCCCCCTAGGAATCAGAGATCACAGCAGAAAGGACTCGTTCCAGCAGAGGGAGATCTGAGCCTATATTGTGCCATTAAAAATGTATCTTTTGTTTTTGTTTGTAAATTCCATGTATGCATTTTGTTCTCAGAAATTTGAAGAAAGTCAAGGAAGAACCAACAGCAAAACAGCCTTTTATCAGGCCCTGCAAAATTCTCTAGGAGGAGAAGACTCCAACTCGTTAATTGAAGAGGCAGCTACATGGTATTACTCCCTCGAACACTCAACCGATGATTATTCATCCTTTTCCAGGGCTTTGGAAAATGCCACACGGTAGGAAACTCATCCTATTACAACTGTGATTGGGGTTAAGCGAGGTTTGTTTTGCTTATCTCACATGTGTGTTTATATTCTGAAAAACTTGAGAAATTCTTATGCAAATAAACAGAAAATGGAGAATATGATTTCATTTTCCGTGAGGTTTCCAATGTCGTTGGTAAACAGAAATTGAACTGACTTTTATGACTTATGAAAAGTTTGAATTGTCTTTCCTGAACTGTATATTGGATTCAGACTACTAATGCTTCTTTGTGTACTCTTTCATACCAAAGATGTCTTGGTTGTTTGCTCACTCTGCATCAACTATTCCTTGAGTCTTTTCATCCCTGTTACAGTAGAAGAACTAATAGACTGGCTTTTACAAATAGTCACCTAATTATACAGTTAGATACTTTTCCTAGTTTTTGGAAATTTGGAGAGTGGTCAAGTTTGAAAACTTTGATTTCAGCAATTACATTAATTTTTATATTATGAAACCCACAAAGTGTATTTCTTCACAATGTCAGGCTTTCTACAGGTTAATATCCTGTGTAAAACAATGAAGCATTTGTGAATGTTTGAAAAGGGTCTCCCAATGCCATTCTGTGCATTGCTAGTCTCCATTACCCATGGCAGAAGAATCCTCTTAAGGTTATTAATGTATTTCCTTTGCCTTTGTGTAATCATTTATGCCAGTGTACAGTGATTGTATAATGTCACCCAGTCTGCATTTTGCTTCCTTTGTGTATGGTTTGCCATGGCCAGAGAAAGCAGCATCAGGCAGTCTGATGGTTCTGTAGGAAGTTGTCTTGTGGAGGTGAAAGAAGAATGCATGATATCTGACTCTTACCTTGTTTGATCCATCAGAACACACCATAGACTCACAGTGCCTCCCAGCCTCTTCTGAAGGAAATAATTGTGATGAAATGTCAGCAGATATATGAGCAACTTACCTCCAGTACATACACTCCCATACTTTGAGTTGAAACGTTGCAGGCAGGGACCGTGGAGAAGCGGAATATGAGCAGTGGGCCATGTTCACACCACCTAGTGTATATGCCTTAATTGGGTATGGCATCAGTGTCCAGCAGTTCTGGATAACCGTCACTTTGAGAAGTTCATTCCCGAGTTGAACCAGGACTCCACAGCAGTCATGACAACTATGGTAGGCCACAGAGACTGGTGGATGTCTTTAGCTTGGATCGCGTGGTGGTTTGGTCTGCAGAGAAGACCATAGATTTTGCTCTCTCCCTCATGAGCAGCCAGTTTGCTTTAGCCAGTTACAGACCTTGGGCTGCGTCAGGGTGGGCCCATTTTTCTGAAAGGAGGCAAACTAAGGTGAAATCTCCTTACCGCCTTTTCCTGCCTCTATGCTAACTTGGGGGCTGAATGTTTAAGTGGAACAGATTTTCAGAAAATTAATCAATCCCAATCATTCCCCTATTCCTGCCTCTGCTTCACAAGCAGATTCATTAACAAAGCTCTTAAAATTTCTAAGGTGATGTGTTTTATAAGCTGGTAGTTTGAGTCCTAGTGTGCCCGTCCAAGCTGGTTCACCTCTGTTCTGAGCTAAGACACCGTAACCACAAGCTCCTGGTATCTGCGCTTTCAGTGTTACAGCTTTCTGTCCCACCATAAGCCTCTCCATGAGACCTTAGAGACAAGATTTTCCTTTCAGTCCTCCATCAGAGTTGCAGAGTCCAGGGAAGCCTCAGGGAGCAGGAGATGAACAGGAGCCAAGATTCACTTGGAAACATCTGATCCAAGACAGCAGTGACCAAATCTGTTTGGGGAAGGTTTCTGGGTGGTCCAGGTGTGCCAGTGCATTGAGGTCACAGAGTAAACAAGCCAGAAGGCTGTGGGTTGAGCTTTATGCCATTTATTGAGTCTCGTGCTGTGCCGCATTTGCCCTGCCTCGTAGCCTGTCCCAGGGACAGGCCACCCATCGCTGCAGCGTCTGGGGCCACTGCATGCAGCACATCTGGAAGCACTGTGGTTCCTGGGCATTAAAGCCAGAACTTCTTTTCAATCTCTTTCCATCACCACCATTAACCATGAGGCTACAATTCTTTAGTCAGATCAGTAAGGTTTTAAGCCATAATAAACCGCTGGAGGACTTAAATTTTAACCCTTCTTCCCATCCAGAGATAACTCCATAAGGAGCTGTTGTAACACAGCGCTGTCACATTTGATCATCCACGTTCAGCCCAGGGCTCAGCGTGGTGCAAATGCTGACTTTTGCAAAGCTACGACAACTAGCACACCACTTGCTTGCAGCAGGATTTTTTAACTCCTCTGGTTCTCAGCCTGCGAGCACCTCGCAGCAGCCTCGTGGACATAAGGATGACCTGCTTGTATATGATATGAGACAAATGACTTGTCTAAGGCAAAAAGTGAATGGCTTAAAGAGTCACCATGAGCAAACAGAAGGATGAGTAGTGAAACCAGGATGTCTGATGACAGTCTTTCGCTTTAAATATGTTGGAAATTACTCCAGCTACAACAGAAAGGAAGGGGAGACGGTAGTTACAGAATGACAATCACCTACATCAGTATCACATACATGGTGGACAAAAGAGGGGATTGGTTCTGGTTTTTTCGTGTTTGGTTGGTTGGTTGCTTTGGGTTGGGTTGGGTTGGGTTGGGTTGGGTTGGGGTTTTTTTTAACAAAAAACTTACTACCAGCATAAATGTGTAACCCAAGAAAACTTCTATGTCAGGAAATTACAATTAATTGCTAAAGTTTTATCAGGATTGTGAAGTGTGAGAAAGAAACATAAGTAGTTGTTATAAACTACATATATTGTGCAAATTTTGTGACTTTAATATATTTCCACTTTTAAAATTGTTTCAGCTGCAATTCTCCAGTATTTTGCCCAGGTATAAAATGAGTTTCATTTTCTTTTTCTTTCCCTTTTTTTTTTTTTTTAACTCTGGTATTCCATGCCTGTAAGAAACAGACGTCTCATTTTTGTGGTTACTATTTTTTAATTTTTTTTTTTTACTTCCCCAGAATGGCGGACTTTTTTCACACCCAAGCACCAACTGAGAATCAGTTTTGAGTGTATCTCAAAACATTTCTGGAGAGTTGATGCTCTCCACAGACTCCCTAGTTTTCAAAGACCCTTTGCTCCTCTAAAACCTCATGCTGGTAGGCTCATGAAGAACAATAATATTGGTTTCATATGGGTGTTGTCAACCATAACTGTCAAAGAGCATTGTGGTCAGTCAGCCCATAGCTTGTGGTCTCACAGATGGGCTTAAAATAAATTCTGCTGAACAAAGATAGCTACCCAAACAGCGCCTTTCATAATCATACCAGTTAAATATAGCAACATGTTTTTATGCTTCTCTGACACTGTTCTTTCTTGCCATCAGTCATTCTTTTTTTACCTACCAAGTCTGAAGGAGCAGTTACCGTTTCAGATTCACTAGGCTGAGAACTGAAAGCTGCCACTTCCGCAGCAGATACGTTTGTGTGTGCTCATGTAGTTATGGATATGTGAACACTCAAAGAGCGCGCCGAGTCTTCGGGCACATGTAGAATGAGAAGTGGTGAGATATATATATATAATATAGCCTTGAGGAATCATAATGAGATATCTTCTGGTAAAGTGTTCTGTTTTCTTCCTGCCCCTCTTGAACTGCTTGTGCTCATTCCAGATACTGCTCACCCCACCTTCCAGCCTCACGTCTTTTGGCAATGGAAGCTAGGAAGGTTTGGATACATTTGCTTCACTCATACCTTTGCATTGCAATACCTGGTGATAAATTGATCATTTAACTATCTCATTGCACTCTTCTTGTTTAATCTTTCTCTACCAGACGTACTACATCAGGTATTCCATATTGATAAGCCCTGCCAGAGGCCCTGCAGGATATCTCCAAAAGTGGTCTCTTACCTCTTCCAGCTCTGGAAACTCTACCAAAAAAAATCACACAGATCCAAATGCAGAAATGATATTACTGATCCTTAACCCAGGACATATATAAGTCCTTTCACTAGATGCCATTACGACCTGGTGGTGCCAGAAGAAGGAGCATTATACTATTACAAGCAGAAACCTCCATAAACTAGACTGAAATGGGATTGGTTTTTTTGGCCAGGATAGTCCTTATGTGTCAGATCTGGTTTATTTAGTATCATTACCATTGTTCAACACTTCATAAAACAGCAATTTTAGTGAATTCTAAGCTGTACTGGGCTCATAGAGAGTTAATGTGGTTTACCTCAGTGGACTTGAAGGCAGAGATATGAGCTGTTTTGGAAGATTTAAAGAGGGCTATCAATAT